AAAATTAAATTCGAGTCGTAAGATAAATATACCCAATATGCGTAAGATATTTGAATTTAGTTCGTTGCATGATGCATGATGCATGATGCATGATACATGATGCTGGGTTCGCTATAAGCATCCATTCAACATATATATCCACCTTATCCATACATATTTTGTCCTTTAACCATCAGTCCAGAAAACCTCAACCGCTTCTTATCTACATACACATTTTGTATTTTTCTTACTATATATGACTAGGTACGATTATTGGGAGAGTAAGAATTTCAATATGATATATATATAGAATGAGTTTTTATATTTAAACCTCACATTTCTTTTTTTTCATCCTAACTTTTAATTCAAATTTTCACAATTTCTAAGAAAACCTCATTATCTTCCCAAACCACCCTCAAATACACACTCAGTAGAGGGAAAAAATAAAAAAAAAACTCATTAACCTCACACCTCACACCCCACACCCCACACCCCGTTGTCTTGCCCCTCACCACTCTAATTTCACCTCAATCTCACATTACTTAAAGAGATAAAAACATTGTTGTCAAATGTGTATTATTTTAACAAAATTTGAGAATGAACTAGGAGGTTTTGATAGAGAAATGTTGACAGTTAAATTGATATGTAAGTTACCATCATCAAACATGAAGAGTGGTGGGGTATGTGTGTGTATAGATGTACTAGGGTTAAATATTAAGTTGGATGACCCTTTTTGTCTTTTTACACAATAATAAAACTTAAGAGCTTAATAATTTAAATATTAAGATGAACAAAGAGAAGTGTGGGGTTTAAATCTATAAAATTTGTATTTTTCTTCGGATATATAGAATCTTAACTTAGATTTCCATCACTCTCTCTCTCTCTCTCTTATCTACTAGCTACATGAAGTGTATAAAAAAAGAGAAGACTTGGTTTTTCTCTCATGAATAAATTAACATCTGCCTTACCTTCAATGCACATTAATTTTATACGATTAGAAGATTAAAATTCAAAGATTTTACTGCACAAGCTCAACCTATTTGCATAAACTAATTAGTGAAAAATAAAAAATAAAAACATACTAGCATGACGAAGCTATCTATTTGAACTATTAATTTCACCTTGTCTCTAGCTCTCAGCTATGACAATATTCTTTCCCAGCAATAAGTTGCAGAAAATAATGGAATCATAACCAAGCCTTGTACAAAATGTTTGACTAATATCAATATCCCAATGAAATTGGAAGGCCTATTGTGAGATCAAGATTGAGGTCGGGCAAAGCACTGCAGCTTGTGTTGCTTTCGGGTTCACTTGTAGAATCTAACAATGGATCATCAGAGTGAGAATTTTCACTTGGCTGATCATTCGTATTAATCCTGGAGCCAAATGATTTAGTATTGCCAAAATTGTGCCCTATTCGATGGTTATTTGGGTCAACTCCCATCTGTATTAGTTTTCTCTTTAGATGAGTGTTCCAGTAATTCTTCACTTCATTGTCAGTCCGTCCGGGCAATCTTCCAGCAATTAATGACCACCTGTAATTAGTACTTATTAATTAGTCATAAATTAAGCAAGTTAATTAGGTATTATTTATGCAAAGCATGCATTACGAATTTGGTTCCTTACATGCCATGCCATGCCATGGTGCAATTAAACTTTCATTCAGATTCTAGCAAATGCATAAGTTCCAAATTAAAGAGGAAAAAATCTCCTCTGATTTTCATCATATAAAAATATTCTCCCTTTATGTTTGCTCCCCGAATTTTCAGAAAAGCTACTATTTATGGCATACAAAAGATGCCCTGCGCGCAGTACCTGTTTCCAAGAAGTGCATGGAGCTTGATGATGAGGTCCTCTTCATCCTCACCAAAGTTGCCACGTTTCAAGTCTGGCCTTAGATAATTTACCCATCTGAGTCTGCAACTCTTTCCACACCGATGCAAGCCTGCACCATTAATTAATTTTAAAACAAGTTTTTTTGAGAGCTTATAATAATTAATGTAATGTAAATATTTTTCAAGCAATAACAAGTGCAAAATTAGAGTGAGTTTTTATTTGTAATTTTATATATATACCTGCAGCCAGTGGTATGGAGCGCCAGCTACCTTCGCCGTGTTTTTGAATATACTGAGTGAGCTTCTCATCTTCTTGCTTGGACCATGCTCCTTTGTTCGTCTTTTTCTTCTCACAGCAAGGTTTCCTCATTCTTCTTTCTGATATTCAACTTCTTCTTCTAACAGCAAGAGAGGGAGAGAGAGAGAGAGGGCAGCTCAAGGTGCCCAAGTGAGGGGTAGAGCAATATAACAGAAATTTTCCAACTGCGCTTGACTTACAGTTGTGAAATTACTGCATGTCATCTGTCGAGGGTTTGGTTTGATTTGGTTTGGTTTGTCGGTACTATGCCAACCTTAATTTCTATTGTTTTATTTTATTTTTTGGCCTTTTCATTTCTATTATACAATGGTTAAGTAAGATTCTGTGGACAGCCAGCTACTTCAAAATGTAAAAACCTTTATGCTTTCCCCATGCAATACCCCCAGTTTTGAGTAGCCATTAATGGTACATGGGAGACCGAATCAAGAAAATGTGTTGGACACACACATCCAAATGTTAAAAAGGGCCTTCATGTCAATTTAAAAAAAAATTGAGCGCTTTGCATTGACCTAAAAAAAATTAAAATAAAATAAAATATAGTTGCATTATTAATTAGTTCAACTGAAAAATAAAACCAAATATAGAACATTCTTGTTCGCCACTTTAACCAACAGTGTACAATCACTACCTTTCTCAACATTTGACATGTGTATGTGAGCATAACATGATTCCACAAATACAAAGTAAAGAGTTAATTATGATTTGGCCTATGGAGACGTGTCAAGTGTTAGAAAGGGTGATGATGGTACACATTGAGTTGAAGTGGTGAGTAAAAATATTTCCAACCATATATAATATGACTCTTCTTTTTTTCGTTTTCCTTTTTTCTCTGACAAAAACCTAAAAAGTGTTAAACACACAAATGCTAGTAATAGATTGTTGCCAATAGGATTTTTCTAATTTTCTTTAAAATTGAGTACAAATGATAAAAAAACACAAAATAACTTTGAGATTATTATTTAGTGTGGTATTTGGGTTAGTTAAGGGTTAAGGATGATGAACTCAAACTGTATTATACGTATATTCTTTGCGTATATAGATAGTTATTCAGTTTTTGATTTGATATGCATATTCCATTAATATAAATTTTGGGTGGCTTCAATTCAAATATAGAATCTTGACAAGTCTCACGCTCACTGAGTCACTGGTAGGCGTATGTGCGAGTTGAATGGTAGATTCACAGGTGAGGTTTTGAGGTATTTTTGACAGGACACATGTCTTCCTTTCCTTGTGAGATTGCCAAGAGTGCTATTTCATTGAGACCATTTAGATTTATAGCAACAAGGAAGGAATTGGACCACCATTTCGAAAAGGTCAACGTAAATATCCTAAGGAAGGAGGACCCATATGCTCAAGATTTTCATCACTGAGATTCAAAAGAGTTGTCGATTTCGAATGCCAATGAAAATTGAATTCCTCATTGTCGTTATTCAATACTCAAGAGATAAAATGATAAAATGTCTAGCAATTAGCAAACTCTATATAATAATCATATTCATTGATTCTCACAGTCATGATTACTTATATACTATTATCGCATGCCCAGGTCTTTAATTATCAATAGTAATAGCAAATAATTATGTAAAACTTATAATTCCTTTTCCAAAGAGAAAAATATATCTTTTTTTTTGTATGCGTGGTGTCTCAGCCCACAGCTGCAAAATATATACGTACGCTAGTTAGAGTTGGTAGAGATGAGTAGAGTTGACCGTTTGACTGTTAGATTTTAAGGGGTCGATTTTCTCCTTTTGTTTTGAGATGTTCGGTAAGTCCTCACTCACATTCATGTATGGTTCCTTTTCCTTTTCTTTTCACGGTGATGCAATGCAAGGTATTGTATAAATTATGCATTTAATCCTTTTTCCGCGGAAACAATTCGTTACTTTGAAGACAATGGCACAAAGCAGTCAAACATCTTTGTAATTGGTAGAGAGGTCCAAAATCTTTGTATTTCTTAAATATGTGCAAAAAATTTCGATGTAAAATACTTTCAACAACAATAATAATATGTGGAAATTATCCCCGCAATAAAAGTATTCTGTATATTGAAAGATCTTCATAATTTATGTTTGAATTGGAGGGGTGTACGTTTGAAAAAAATCTTCCACTATATGTAGCTGAGTTCGATATTAATAGAAAAGTAAAAAAGCAGCACGAAGAAAAGGTTGAATCAGGACTATATGTAGCTATTTTACATTCTTGAGCATTAGGTCAGGTTGGTTAACAATTCGATCTTTACGTTCGTATAACCCTTTCAGTAGTCATTGCTTTTGGAGGATTTGGTAATGAATCAGAGCTTCGACTTCTCACTCAAAAAGAAGCTGGATTTTTTATCATTCACTTGCATGTTTGCAGCTTTGAGCTTGTTCTTCTTTTCTTTTTCTTCAATGAAGATTCTCGACACGTTTTACTTCAAGCAAGGAAGAATGCAGTCACGTGTATACATTCAAGACATTAGCTAATTTACTTCTCTCATTCTGACCTTGAATATATATATATATATGTGTGTGTGTGTGTGTGTGTATATGTACTACACTCTCCATGTACTAGAACTAGATAGACATATATAGCTCGTACATGCACCACATTGCTTCTGATGAAGGGTTACTAGCTAAATCGCTCTGTTAGCCTTGCATCGGTCATTTGATACTGGAACATTTACAGAGATAAATATATGCAAATTGAAGATACAGAAGATATATTATATGAAAAACCAGAACGTTGTATACGATTAACTTTTTTCATCTCACTGGATAATTAATGGCAGAGATATAGCTAGTAACCCTCTGCCTCCTCTTGCAAGAGTTTGAAATATATTTGGTCAATACGAATTAGATATGTACGGTAAGTTTGTCCTCTACATATATATATACGTAACAACACCTATATAGTATTTGGCAGATATATCATGTGCATGCCCAAACTAGTCGGTAACTCTTTTCTTCTCCACACACTGACGGACTGAGTAGTACTACTACTACAGCTTCAAACCGAAAGTAAGCCATTGTCGAATTGCGTACACAACTTTATACTAGTCAACACTAGTCACTATAGTAAAAATCCACGCGTCCAATCCAAGCAAAGCACCAATGTTGTCTAAAAGAAGAGGAGCCCTGGAGGTCATCGTGGTGGGTGGGAGGGACGGATACTTTTTACTTTCAGATATCAGATTGGTGCCTCTCTCCCACAGCCAACTGGAGACTTAGAGTGAGGTCAAGATTTAAGTCAGGCAAACAGAAGCTTTTGTTGCTCATTATAACACCTGTTTGAAGTTGATTACCACCGTTAATACTCATGGAATCCGAGACGTCCATCTCATCATCATGATTAGGCGCACGCTTCTGATCCGTCGTCTTCGCAGGCGGCCTAAATAATATTGGATTTCTAGCATCAGGCTGCATTAGTAGTGGCACCTTGTTGTCGCGGTGATGGGGTTTTTTCGGATCAAGAGCCGTACTAGTAGTAGTAGTAGTACCCATCTTTACTAGCTTTTTCCTTATATGGGAATTCCAGTAATTCTTCACCTCGTTGTCTGTCCTTCCTGGCAGTCTTCCTGCTATCAATGACCACCTAAATTCATCCAATATCATAATTATATACATCCATGTTAGTAAAGTTCCTTTTATTAGATTCAGTTTCCATAATCACTTAACTTGTAATCAACTATTTATAACAATAAATAGTTATATGTAAAGAATGCTAGTTTTTTTTTTTTTTTGGTCTTTCTAAATCAGTTTGTGCCACGTGTATTCCCCTCACACATAAAATCTATGTATTTAATGCAAACTATCGATATTTTTCTTGTGAAGAGAATAAAGTGTTTTTGAACACATTAAATACGGGTGTTGTTATTTAGACGATATTTACTGAAAATATTGATGACCACCTCTCTAATATAGGTGGGTTCCACGTACATTGATGGAGTGGAATACATGTAGATAATATTCCTCAGCCATTAAAGTAACATTTTCCCATATATAATTAGTGTAATTACATATACATGTGCAGATTTTCTCTTATGCAGAAGTCCAAACGTTATTACCGTGTAGATGCCATGTATTTTCTACTACCCTTCATGTTTTCCTCCATGTTTACAATGACGTATGCACAATAATAACGTCCGGAAAGGAGAAGAATTGTATATATATATATATATATATATGATAGTGGGCATATATTTATACACATGTATTTGTAATCTTGTGTGTACTGTAGCTGGCTAGGTATATTGAAAAGCAAATTAAGTATGATTGTTTCGTAATTCGAGTAAATTACACCATAAAACTCTCTTTATAGCTAGGTTGCTTAGGCAATCATGTTATTAGGGAGTTAATTTTGGGGAAGGGGTTATGGATTGAGATTAGAGTAGTTTCATGTATATATACCGGTTCCCGAGGAGTGCATGAAGCCTGATGATGAGGTCCTCTTCATCTTCTCCAAAGCTTCCGCGTTTAAGATCTGGTCTCAAATAGTTTATCCATCTCAGTCGACAACTTTTACCGCAGCGTCGCAACCCTGACCATAATCAACAATATTATTCAATATATATATATATATGTACATATTACAACTGTAGAAAGAAGGAAAAAGGAAAAAGAATCTACGACCAATATCTATCACCTCTTTTTCCTCGATTGAATTCATTCATCCAACAATAATGATCAATTGTCAATTTCATACATATGTCAGTAATTGTTGATATCTTAAACTTTTGCATATGTAATTATGCATACAGTTTCAAGGATAATATAACCTAAACTCTGATCGAGTAGTAGTAATCGAAGAAATTGATGATTAAGAAGATATATATATGTAGTAGTAGTAGTAAATTACCTGCAGCCTTTGGAAGGGAATTCCAACAACCTTCCCCATGTTTTTGGATGTAATCAATGAGTTTCTGATCTTCTTGCTTAGACCATGCTCCTTTAGTTATCTCTGTCTTCTCACAGCAAGGCTTCCTCATTGAGTTAAAACCCTAGCTGAGCTTGTTATAGAACAATAGTAATCGGATGATGCAAATTGCATGCAGCAAATAGAGTTAATTAGGATCGATATATGAAAATTAGTTATGGATGATATTCACAGAGAGAGAGAGAGAGAGAGAGAGAGAGAGAGAGAGAGAGAGAGAGAGATTGTCTAAGCAAGGCCCCATGAATCCAGGATATCGGTAGAGCAACAGGAATATATAATGATATTTTATAAAGGAATTTGTGTGTAGGTGAAGAAGGTCTGGGGGAGGGGGGATTATATTATAATCTGGAGTGTTGAAGATGGTCAAGTTGTCTCCAAGTTGACATGGACTGGTTGTTTTTGAATTTTAGCCATGTTTTGATGTGTCTCCTGTGAATGGCAAGAATGTGCATGGTTTGGTGAGGTGAGAAATTGAGAATGTGCACCACTTACCTTTGACCTTTGTTTCCACCAGCTAACCCAATTGAGTGGGTAGGCCCCAACATTTTAAGTTCTCCCACGTCAGCATTAAAATCACACCGGTTTGGTTTCTTTAATTTAACAAGTCCTTTCATTTCTGCTGGTGCTTTCTGGTTTGTCGTTGTACTAGTAACTATACGGGAGACACACGATGACCAAATTTCAAGGATTTATACGTAATTTAATTCCTTTGTCAGGAAAATCATACCATATGTAGAGCTCAGGCTACTAGTCGGGACAATACTTTATGACTTCACTACCAAATAATTCATTTCAGTTTACAATTACAATTATCCACGCACGAGTTTCCAGTTAGTCAAGTTTACGAATCACTTCATGTCTGCCTTATAATTAGCTCTTAATTAAATGGACAAGTGGATAGTTTTAAGTTTTTCTTTCAAATATATTTTATATTAGGAGTAGGCATCGAGACTCAAAAACGGGAATATCGAGCCGCACCAAATGAAAAAAACTGTATTGACTAAAAACTCAACAAACTGGCACTGAATCGGACTGGACCGATTCAAACTGATTTTAATTTCACACCTTATAAAATTAGACCGGACCGACTGCCTATTTTTAATTTTTTATAAAAATTATTTAAGTCCAATGCTAAATTTCTAATATCATAATTAATATTTCCCCAAGTTCAACTTCAAAGTCCATTTCTTTTTTAGGCCCAATCATCTCTCTTTGTATGAAATTGAATCATTTGTGAAGTTTTAAGTTCAAAAAATAAAATTTTAGTTTGAATTTGTAAAAAATAATAATTGAAAAAATAAAAAAATAATGTCTGGTCTGAAACCGAAAAAAGGAGAAACTGCATCCAAACTGATTTAAACCGAACTAGCTGATATCATAGATTTTTTTTCACCAAAATGGGACCGAACTGCACCGGTTAATTAGTACCAGTGTGAGGTGAAAATCGTATAGAACCAGACCGAGCCACCCTTACTTTATATGAGTATTTATATAATATGTCATGCTAAAATGAGCTTATTTGTAAAAGCCAGACTACGGTGATGGACTCTTTTGCTGTAGCTTTTACAAGAAGAAATTCAATTTGGTAACTCAAAAATAAATCTCAATCCTTCTAATTACAGTTTTATTGTTTTTGTGCGAAAAACAAAACAAAGAAAAATATAATATTTTTTAAAAAAAAAGGAAGTTGGGGCTTGCGTGGGCAAATCATGTTTCACTCATCTCATTCCAAACAAGACTTAGACTCGACAATCAAGGCCTGTAACCGGGTTGGGCCAGGTCTGGACAGTTTTATTGGGTCTGGCTTGATCATGCAAGCACGCACGTATAAAGGATTAAAAAAATAAAAGTAAAAAGGAGGAGACAGAGACAATCCTTTTTCTTGGATCTTACGTCTCACACACTGACACTTGTCCTTGTCTACTTTACCTTTTGAACATTTCCAAAACTCGCACAGGGCACTGACCTCGATCATTCACGAGTTGCTGACCACGATCACTTCTCTCATCAGTCTCTTGACATACAACACAACACAACACAAACCCCACCACCTATAAAAGCCGCGAGCTTTCAAATCCCACCTTCTCGCTTTTCCCAAAATCCCCAAAATGACCCAACTCACCGAGGCCTACGCCTGCGTACCGTCAACGGAGCGAGGCCGTGGGATTCTGATCTCTGGCGATCCCAAATCCGACAGGCTCCTCTATACCAATGGCAGATCCGTAATTATCATGAATCTTCAGAATCCTCTCGACGTCGCCGTTTACGCCGAGCACGCCTACCCTGCCACCGTCGCCAGGTTCTCGCCCAACGGCGAGTGGATCGCGTCCGCCGATGTCTCCGGCTCTGTCAGGATTTGGGGGACCCACAACGACTTCGTTCTGAAGAACGAGTTCAAGGTCCTCTCGGGTCGGATCGACGACCTCCAGTGGTCCCCAGACGGAATGAGGATCGTTGCTTCTGGTGAAGGAAAAGGAAAATCCTTAGTTCGCGCATTCATGTAAGCGTCATCCTTCTCATTTTTCATATTTTAAACTATAAATCGGGTTTCTCTTTTTGGTGGATCTTCTGGCCTTTTGTGTTTGGTTAGTGAGAAGTTGCTGGAATTTGAATGATTGAATAGGTGGGATTCGGGCTCGACTGTGGGGGATTTTGATGGGCACTCGAAGCGAGTTTTAAGCTGTGCGTTTAAGCCAACAAGACCCTTTCGCATTGTCACTTGTGGAGAGGATTTCTTGGTCAATTTCTACGAAGGACCGCCCTTTAAATTCAAGCTGTCTCACAGGTTTCTTCATTATTTATCATAGCAACTCCTTGAGGCCTCGATGTTTGTGTTACCGTACTGACTCAAAGTTTTTCCCTTTTGATGTTGTTGTTGTTGTTTGTATGTTAGGGATCATTCAAACTTTGTGAATTGTGTGAGGTTCTCTCCAGATGGAAGTAAGTTTATCACTGTAAGCTCAGATAAAAGTGGTATTATTTATGATGCAAAGACCGCGGAGAAGATTGGAGGGTTTTCCTCTGAAGATGGCCACAAAGGCAGTATTTATGCTCTTAGCTGGAGTCCTGATGGTAAACAGGTAAAGTTGAGATTGTTATTTTCTACCCAAGAGATTTTGTTAATTTAATTGTTAATTGGACATTATTTAGATACAGGGGATTTCATCTACTTTGGCCTAACCGAGTGTTATCTGCTGAACTGAACCCTATTATAAGGATCGCTGCTTTGCATATTTTATTTTCTCTGTATTGTAACATCTTTCATCCCTGCTTGAATGTGCTAATCAGTTCCAATTAAAATATTAGGTTCTGACAGTGTCTGCTGACAAATCAGCAAAAGTATGGGAGATATCCGAGGATAATAATGGGAAGGTGAAAAGAACATTGCCTCCTCCTGGATCAGGTGGAGTGGATGACATGCTAGTTGGGTGTCTATGGCAGAATGATCATCTTGTTACTGTTTCACTTGGAGGCACCATTAGTATATTCTCAGCAAGTGACCTTGATAAAGCCCCGCTGTTGATATCTGGACACATGAAGAATATTACGTCGTTAGCTGTTCTAAATAGTGTCCCAAAAGTTATATTGTCTAGCAGCTATGATGGTCTAATTGTTAAATGGATTCAAGGCGTTGGATATGGTGGAAAATTACGAAGGAAGGAAAATTCTCAAATAAAATGTTTAGCAGCTGTTGAAGAAGAAATCGTTTCATGTGGATTTGACAATAAGGTGACTAGAATTTTATATTCTTTTAGTCTCATGCAATTTGATGGTTTCTACTTTACATTTTTATTCCTTAGGAAATTTTTTTTGCCTGATTTGGATTTCACTTTATCTCAGTTTCTTTCCTCATAACTACCCAGGTTTGGAGAGTTCCTGTCCACAGTGATCAATGTGGAGATGCAGAGCCTATTGATATTGGCAGTCAGCCAAAGGACATAAGCCTTGCCCTTCAATCTCCTGAACTTGCTTTGGTTTCAACTGACACAGGAGTTGTCATGCTCCGTGGCACAAAAGTAGTGTCAACTATTAACCTTGGGTTTACTGTGACTGCATGTACTATTGCACCAGATGGAAGTGAAGCCATCGTTGGTGGGCAGGACGGTAAACTGCATATGTATTCTATAACGGGTGATACACTTAAAGAAGAGGCTGTCTTAGAGAAACATCGGGGGTCTATTTCTGTCATACGCTACTCTCCTGATGTTTCAATGTTTGCATCTGGAGATTTGAACCGAGAAGCTGTCATCTGGGATCGTGTCTCCCAAGAGGTAGTGTGCTCATTGTCCTCAGCTACTGTTTATCATTTCATCATTCTAACACCATTGTTCTGGTATTATTGTCATTTGTGGTATGAAAAGGATAGAAAAAAGTTGTCTTTTTCTCCTAGTCATGTGTTTATATGTGTCCATGCATGTGTGTGTAGAATCTGTAGATGTGTGCATCAGTCCATTATCAGCTGCTGTTCTTTGTTTAACCAAATTTAGTCAAACGCATGAATAGACAATCATGTGAGGCAGTAAGTTGTTGGTTCTTTATATGGAATGTCAAGCGTGCCTCAGTTTAATTCGACTGATTACAAAATCTGTCATGTAAATGGAGAGCTTCAGTAACATGTTTCTAGAGGCCTGGTTGTGATTGTTGCTTTCTTATTAATGTTGAACACCTTGCATTTTAACACATTCTATCCCAGGTCAAGCTTAAGAACATGTTGTACCATACTGCCCGGATAAACTGCCTTGCTTGGTCTCCTGATAGCAGCATGGTTGCAACTGGGTCTCTTGACACGTGTGTCATCATATATGAAGTTGACAAGCCTGCGTCAAGCCGTATAACCATTAAGAATGCTCACTTGGGTGGGGTGTACGGCTTAGCTTTCACGGATGAGCACACTGTGGTAAGCTCTGGCGAGGATGCATTTGTTCGTGCTTGGAGGTTGACTCCGCAATGAAGAGATATGGAGGCCTTCGTGGGCATATGAAGGCGACAATAAGGAGTTCTTGCTCGGTTTTATGGGTTTGTACTTTTGTGAGTTTGCCATCTGATAGAAGG